ACCCAGTGTTGCCACCATGCTTCATGGAATGCCAGAGTTCAACACTGTTGCTCTTGAAAATCTGGGTCTGAAAAAAGGCACAACAGCTCCTGCCCTGCCCCGCCCTGCTCTAGCTGAGGCACACAGGGAGACTTAGTGAAGATAAGCACAGATTGAATTGTACAATTTGGAAATGCAGATTTAAATGCATGAGACATGCATGATAACTCAGAGTTGACATTTTTAAACTTGCCACACTGACTTCAAGTATTTGTATTCAGCTATGTTAACATGTACTGTAGACATCAAACTTGTGGCCATGCTAATAAAATCATTAAAAGGAACACTAAAGGAAAACTGTGTGCCAAGCATCATATCCTAAGGCATACGGAATCTGGGGAAGCCACTGTGCAATCCAGTGAGGCTTCAATGTGCAGCAACCAAAATGGTAGGGAGGTCTTGAAGCCAATGAGGGATTTACAGCATCTTGAGTGGAGTGCAGCAAACCACCAGGAGGCAGAGTTGCACTTTTCTACGCTAATTAGGAACCTCTGCAACAGATGTGATCATAGGCAATTAGAACTGGAAGAAACTTCCAAGGACATCTAGGTTTGTCCTCATGTTACAATTGAGGAAGCTAAACTCTGGAAGGGAGGGGTTGCCTCAAAAGTCACAGTTAAGCCGGGCACAGTGCCTTACGCCTATATTCCCAGCAACTCAGAAGGCCGAGGCAGGAGGATTACTTGAGGCCAGACTGGGCAACATAGCAAGACCCCATCTCTTTAAAAAAATTAGCCTGGCATGGTGGTACATGCCTATAGTCCCAGCTATTTGGGAGGCTGAGGTAGGAGGATCACTTGAGCCCAGAAGTTAAAGGCTGCAGTGAGCCATGATTATACCACAGCACTATAACCTTGGTGACACAGTGAGACCCTGACTGTTAAAAAAAAGAGAGAAAGAGAACTAGAACTTCTTGTTTACAGTTAGCCAGAAACTATACAAGTGGTTTAACATGCATTCTCTTAATCCATACAAAAGTCTTATGGAGGTGTTAACACTCTTTCTATTGATGAAGAAATGAGCCACTTACCCAAGGTGTCTTGAGTCTGGTACAATTGGCGTTCAAATCCAGGTCAGTCTGCTTCCAGAGCCACTACCCTTACCCCTCACTGAATCTGCCTTTATATTGTTGAACCCATGATCCCAACTCTGTGCTCTTTCCGATTGGAACTTCCAGGGATTTCACTGTGAACTAAGTAGCAATATTAAAATGAAGTTGAATTTTTAAAAATGGCAACGTTATCTGACTCCTCTAGCTTACCCCCTCCCACCTTTCAACTCCATCTGTGGCCTTTGTCCAGGCCCACAGCTTAGCCATGGCTTCCCTCCTGCATCCCTGCTGTGGGTTGCCAGCATCACACTTGCAGCGGCCAGGAAGTGATTTTGGAAGGCCACCAGTCCACACAGCTATATGACAATGAGAAGCAAACTTTGTGCCAGATTGTGTTGGCACAGGCATGATGGGTGGGGCTTGGTACATTTTGATTCAGCATTTGCAAAACAATTCAGTTTTAAAATGAAAAAAGATTCGTTCATTGAGTGGGACAAATGTCTAAACTGCATGTACTTCCGTGCCATGGAAGCTATGATGGGTGAAAGGGAGGAAAACGTGACCAAAGAAGATACATCAGGCTGGGCGTGGTGGCTCACACCTGTAATCCCAGCACTTTGGGAGGCTGAGGCAAGTGGATCACTTGAGGCCAGAAGTTCAAGACCAGCCTGGCCATCATGGGGAAGCCCTGTCTCTACTA